AATCAAATAGCAAAATCTGCAAAATGACTAGTGTCGTACGAATGGAGCCGCTAAACGCGGAAAATCATGACACTTGGCGGCAGCGTTGCCAGGTTGACGTTTTTAACGTCATTTGGACGTTTTTTGTATCCTGTTGACGTTTTGACATTTTTTGTGTAAAAAATGACGTTTTTTAACTTCCCAGTAAATTTTCTTTGTTACTAAATCTTATAAGTAGAACTGATTTTGAATTATTTGCTTAATAAATCTTTACAATCTTTGTGTTTTGCTGCAGTTGCTTCAAAAGATTTTTTTCTGGATTCTTGGACTAAGGATCCCGTGTTCAAAGGCTGGTTGCGTAAACACTTGAGGTTACGAGGCTTGCTGTAATGTTTGCAATTGCACATTTAAAGCCAATTCAGGAAGAGCCGATCTATTGCAGCAGGCACGCTCGCAAAAACATCAAAAAAGCTGTGCAGCATAAAACGTCAGAAAAAAGTAGGCGACTTTTTAAGACTTCATTGAAAATGTAATGAACACAAAATAGACTGAAATATTAGGTCCATTCAATAACTTTTCCAGTAAGTACTTGCAGCGAGAGCGTAAAAGAAAAATAGGGAGTAAAATTGAGAGCAAGAGAAAATTTTCAGAAAGTTATTGAACGAAAAACTAGTAAAAACTTGCAACTTAAGCCATTTTGACACCTTCTGACGGTTAAATTTTGGCGCCCAATTTTCTTTTAAATTGGGAATAGTTCGCATCGTCATAAAAATAAAAAAAATATACAATAGATTTAAATTTTTCATCCATGTTTTAATTTCACTAATTATGTTTCATCAAATCATCCTCTTGAACAGTTTGTTTACATTTGAATTTGAAACATAACCTTACTTTTTGACTCCTGCAAGTTCCTGCTAGTAAAATTTTTACTTGCAAGAATTTGCAGCTCTCTCGGGTTGTTACGCTCTCGAATTCGCTCCCTCTTGCAAATATTTTGGATTATTGAATGCATTCCCAGTAAAAACTTGCAAGTACTAACAACGATTCGTAACAATTTTTTGATATTGAATGGACTTTTTGCTATGCTCCTTCTTAGCAGACCATAATTTAGCATTTTCGACAACCGAGCCCCTAACCAAATGTCTACAAAAAAAAAGTATTAAAAATCAACGCGATTATTTAGCCCCTTTAAACTTGCACATTATTGCCCTGAAATTTAATGGGCTATCAAACTGCATACTCAACAAAAATTCTAAAAACTCTGAATAAAAAGTTGAAAATCTAGCTGAAAATTTGCAGATTGTTTATAATTTTTGCACAATTTTTGTGGATTTATATTTTGATTGTTAATGAGCTTGGCTTTTATGGAAAAATAATAAACATTAAATAAACGAAAGAGAAACAGCCAAAATCGATCAAACTATCGATGACTTAATCAGCTGATCACAAGTGTATGTATAAAATGATTTTTATATTAACGACCAGTTTACAATGAATTTTAAATGTGCTCTGTCGAAATGACATTTTAATATACATTACGTACATATCGAGCCCTAACCGCCAATATAACGTAAGCGACAAAATTTTCTTTTTGATGCAGAAATGCACCTAAATGCTCAAGGAATATTTCTGCATCAAAAAGAAATTTTTGAAAAAAATTTCGCTTACGTTATTTTGGCGGTTAGGGCTCGATATGTACCTTTGTATACAATAAAAGCTTAATAAAAACAATTTTTTGTACATTCAATTGAAAAAGACGTTTTTGGGTAGGAAATGACGTTTTTTCAGACCAAGAATGACGTTTTCTCATGCCGAAGACCTGGCAACTCTGCTTGGCGGTTACAAATGCGGGCGATTCTCATAAAAAACGACTTGTGGTCATACGTCGATGGTACTAAAGTGTCCTACTGAACCTGCAGATGCTACTGTCTGAGTGAACGCTCAAAAAGCATGTGCGGACATAATGCTCGCTATGAGCGCAAGTAAATTGGGATTAATTGCGGAGTCCGAAAATTCTCGAAAGATGTGGATAAAGTTGGAAACCACGTATCGGTCGAAAGGGCCCGCTCGTAAGGCTACTCTCTTAAAGAAAGTGGCGCTCGCTCGGATGAAGGAAAGTGATGTGGTGAGAAACCACTTAAATTAATTTTTTGACGCGGTCGCTAAATTAAAACAAATCGGCGTTGAAATGGGCGACGAGTTGCTGGCTATATTGCTTTTGTACAGCTTGCCGGCCTCCTTCGAAACATTTCGGTGTGAGTTAGAAACTCGTGGCGAACTGCCGAAGCCCGAAATACTCCGTGTTAAAATCTTGGAAGAGTCCGAGTCGCGAAAAGCTTACGAAGAAAGATGTGACGGTGAAGCGTTGTATGCAAAAAACACTCAAAAGAAACAAAGTTATTCCAGGAACAACTACAACGTTGATAGCCGTTTTTCGAAGAACCAAAATCGCAAATTTACTTGCTATATATGTGGAAAAAGTGGACACTTCGCGAGAGAGTGCAAAACGAAAAACGATCAAAAGCAAAGTTCAAATAAAAGCGAGGAGTAATTCCACGAAAACCCAAGCGCGTCGTTGAATGTTACAGAAGCAGTGTTTTCGTGTCCGGAGGGTAGCAAGGCATGGTGCTTAGATAGTGGGTGCACGTCGCACATGAGAGCGGACAAAAACCACTTTGTGAAGCTATCCAAAATGAAACGAGTGCTTAATCTAGCGAACGAAAATTCAACGATGATAGGCGGTATTAGTGACGTAAAAGTTAACCCCATCGAAAGTGGTGATGTAAAAGAAATCACGCTGAGGGATGTGCTTTACTTATCTGACTTGCGAACAAATTTACTCTCTGTATCGAAAATAACCGATAAAGGATACGAAGTGCATTTCCGTAATAACGATGCGATAGTAATCGATAAGAATAGAAGTGTGTTATTTACGGCTAAAAGAAGTGGAAATTTATATTTCATGGACAATAATAATAGCGATAAGGCTTTCTTATCTGACGCGAAAAAGGACATAGATTTGTGGCACTGTCGAATGGGACATTTAAATGAAAGAGACTTGAAAGACATGGCCAGAATCAGTGACGTTTACGGATTAAAATTTAACACTGAAGAAAAACTGTCAGAGTGCGAAGTATGAAGTATGTGAAAGCGAGAAGCAAACGCGATCGGCTTTTCCTAAACATATAGGCAACCGCACAAGCGAACTATTAGAAATTGTGCACACTGACGTATGTGCCCGATGAGGTGTGAATCGGCCGGTGTATGAAATATGTCGTTACGTTTATTGATGACATGTTCAGATGGTGTGAGGTCTATTTTATTAAACGAAAATCTGACGTGTTTGTTGTGTTTAAACAAATTCAAAGCTGCGGCGGAAACGTTTGCAGGTCTCAAAATTAAATCCTTACAGACGGACAAAGGGCGCGAATATTGCAGCCGTGAGTTTGACTCATATTTGCAAGAAGAAGGCATCAAACGCCACTTCACAACGCCTCATACCCCACAGCAAAATGGGTTGGCCGAGCGAAAAAATCGTACTCTCGTCGAAATGGCCAGGTGCTTAATGAAACAAGCAGGAGTGCCGCCGTCGTTTTGGGCGGAAGCAATCAACACTGCCTGCTATATATGAAATAGGTGCACTACAAAGTCGACCGGTGAAGTTCCATACAAAATTTGGACAAATAAAACTCCGACTGTGGTACATATGAAAGTGTTCGGTGGAAAAGGGTACGTTTTAAATAAAGAAAAATCGAATGGTAAATTTGATTCGCGATCAGAGCCATGCGTGTTTGTAGGCTACTCATCGGAATCGAAAGCGTATCGCTTAAGGTCAAAAGAAAAGAAAACAATAATAATAAGCCGTGACGTGAAATTTATAAATGAACCCGGATTTGACAATCAATATGAAGAATTATATGAACCTCGTGAAGGGAATGGTGTGGAAATCGAATTACAACGCAATCGAAATTCAGAAAATAAAGATGTGGTAGTGAAACTCGTGTAAAAGGTCAAAAGCGTGGAGAAGGTCGACCGAAATTGTTGCGTTTGGGACAGATAGGTAGGCCTAAAAAGGTGTATAATCTAGTGTCGTCCAGCAGAAGTGAGTTTGAAGAAGATAACTTCGAAGAATGCGAAATGGTTTGCCTCTGCGCAGAGGAAGACGCATTGAACTGGAGTGAAGCGATGACTAGGAGTAACACTGTAACCTGGAAAGTAGCCATAGAAAAGAATACTTAGCGCAGATTCGCAACAAAACGTGGGACATTGTCGAAAGCCCTAGTAAAAGAGAGGTCGTTGGCAATCGCATCGTGCTTCATACCGAGGATAACGGCACGAAGAAAGTGCGCTTAGTAGCGAAGGGCTACGCACAACGACAAGGAGAGGACTTCAAGGACACCTACTCACCAGTGGTCCGTTCTATGTCCATTCGTTTTTTGACGGCGCTGGCAGCTGAATTTGATTTGGAAAATCATCAAATGGACGTCGTAACCGCATATCTGAACAGCGAACTGGAGGAAAGAGTTTATATGGAAATCCCAGAAATTCTTTTGGAAACACTCACGAAATTCAAATCCGGAGAGCGAATGGGTCAGAAGAGCTTAAGCGAAAAAGGGGTGAAAGAGCCGACCGAAGAATGGTTGAATGCGCTGCAGAAAACGTGTGTCTATTAAGGAAGGCGTTATATGGCTTACGTCAATCCGGTTTGATGTGGTACAACAATTTGACTGAGAATTTGCATGCGATAGGGTTAAAAGCTACGAATCAAGATCCCTGTTTATTCATCAGGCAAGAAGGCAGAAAGCTATTACTAACTACGGTTTACGTAGACGATTTATTATTAGCATGCAATGACAGCGAGTGGTTAAAAGACACAAAGCAACAGCTAACACAATCGTTCGATGAAAGATGTTGGACCTGCAAAGCGTTGCGTTGGTATCGATTTTCATCAATATTTAAAATCACACAGTGTATTTTTGTCGCAGAAAAACTATATAGAATCCATATTGGAGCATTTCAATATGAGTCATCGCAAGGCAGCACGAACTCCAATCGAAAGCGATTGTAAACTAACAAAACCCGAGAATGCTGACGAGCAAGCTATGGCGAAGTATCCGTTCCAAAATTTGATATGGGCGCTGATGTACCTTTCGGTAACTACACGACCTGACATAGCATTCGCAGTTAACTTCATGAGTCAATTTAACTCAAATTACGATGAGGAACACTGGAAAGCAGGGAAACGCATACTGCGATACCTTAGCGGATTCAAAGGCTACGGATTATTGTTCACGAAGAGCAGCAGAGAGATTTACGGTGTAGTTGACGCAGACTGGGGACCAAACCTCACTGACAGAAGATCTTATAGCGGTTATGCGTTCATATTAGCCGGTGCAGCAATCAGCTGGGAAGCGCGTAAGCAGCGTATAGTTGCGCTCTCTAGCACAGAGACCCAATACATGGCCTTATCCAAAGACTTGGGTATGGCGAACAAAAGAGTTTTACTCTTCAACGATAGCCAGAGCGCAAACAAATTAATACAGTGCATGGGTTATCGTTCGCGCACAAAACATATTGATGTGCGCCATCATTTTGTAAAAGAGTGTCACCGAAGCGGTAAGATTGAGCTGAACTACATGCCAAGTGAAGATATGCCGGCAGATGTCTTGACTAAAGGTTTGAGCGTCCAAAAGCATAATAAATGCATCGCAGCATTTAGCGTTTTACTTATGTAACAAATGTGGTCTAACGACTTGGAGAGGAGGTGTTAGAGCAGCCAAGCAGTTCGACAACATTTCTATTTATTAAACGCGCTGTATATTGCTATATAATGTAACGGAATATTTCCATTGTACATATACTATACATATATTCGTTTGGTAAATACAGTTAAAATACAGTTCTTTGTAAACCGCGTAGGCGAACGCATGAATTTTTCTGTACAATAAACGCGAAATACTACAGTGGCGTAGCACTGGGAAATCGTCTGCTTTATTTTCTTATAATCTACATATATATTTTCGTTAAACTCGCCTGACGCACCACTTTTGTTTGGTGTTTATGGGAATGTAACCCTTTTTTTTAACTAAATTTAAATGCCCAGTGCAAAAATTTTGGCCGCACTGATGAAGTCTGACAATTAGCCTGTTCCGGTAATATAGGATTTAACCCTCATCTGTCCTCCCAAAATTTGTCAAACTGATTCTTGCGTATACGCTCGTATATATACAATCAGATCTGCAACTTCTAATCAGATTTTTTTAAATTATAATTATGCAATTTTATAGCCCATTCGTTTTTAGTATAAAAAGTGCAAGTTTGAAGTTGCTATTTTTTTGTGGAAGGTATTGCTCATTTTCTTCGTACAAAATATAATTGTCGAACATACTTTGTATGAAAAAACCTGCGTGAAAAAATTGCCAAAAATTTAGCAACTTCAAAATTGCACTTTGTTGTATTAAAAAAGAATGAGCTATAAAACTGCATGCCTAGAAATTTTCAAACAAATCTGAGTAGATGTTGCAGATGTGTTTGTATACGATACGTATATGTACAGAAAAAATTTCTACTGGGAACGAACTGCGCATGCCCGGAATATTTTTATATGTATATTGATTTATCGTTCAGGCAAAATATATGTACTTTACAAAAACCCAGTTCATTTCGACGATTCATTTTTTTTTAATAAAATATAATTCAAAAATTGTATATGATCGTATTCAAGGAACTGAGGAGAGTTCATCAGAAACAGTCCATACTCATTCCATACACTTAAGTCTAGAGTACCAACCATTTAGCTATGCAAAAACCAAAAACAAAGAAGATGTAAAAGGTTGAAGTTAAATTTTTTTTATTTTTTTAAATATTAATATCGGTAATTAATTTTTCTTTCTCTTGGTGTACATAATGTATATGCTTTTTTATACTTTTAAACCGGAAATATTAAAAAGCAAAATATATATAAATATATTTTTATTTTAAATTGCGTTTATTTAAAATTTATTTTAAAAGTGGCTATAGTATGTACGCTGCATAAAAGTTGCTTACATTGTCTTTAAATTTGCATCAATACTTTTTAAATCGGTCAAGTACTTTCCGAGATATTCAGCCTCATTGCGTAAGTCATAAATTTGGGTAAATTATACTCGACAATATAAGCATTGTCTACTGTCGTGCTGAAAGAAGTAAATGACGAAAATCGCCAAAACTATGCAGTTTTTCCGTTTTAATACACTAGTCGAGTCGAGATTTTAGGCAATACCAAGAAAATTTCGATACGATTCGACTCTCGAAAAACGACTTGCATTCGACACGAATGGTGTCAGACTATTATAAAAAAAAATATTAAACATTAACCCTCTAGTAGGCCAATTTTTGTATGAGTTTAAAAATTCAAGAATGAGTGATTTTAGCACGAGAAATCCAAAAATTATGTCCATTTCGATCTGTGACAGTAACTTTTTCCTACAGGGGAAAAAACCAAGACCGTCTGGAGACGGGCGCGCCGATATACTTTGACCGTAGACGGTCTGTGTTCGAAAGCAATTTGCTCCATTTCGAATGGTGACATAATTATAAAACTTATATTAAAATACTGTGCTTTTAACTACAAAACCCACTGAATTTTTTTGTATCGAAAAATGTTTCAAAAGATAAAATTTCTTTAATTACGAAATTACTTAATAGCAAGTTATAATTAATTTTAACCGAGTCTTTCACAATCTGTGATTCAACTGCCGATTAAAATAAAACGGATTGACATAACGGATTAAAATTTACATTTTCGAATATAGAAAAAAATTATTATAGGTGCCCTAAATACGTGTTTAGTTAACAACCGTCTGGAGGCGGTTCAGCCTACTAGAGGGTTAAATAAACAAAAAATAATACGAGTTATATTGGCGTTCCGAATACTATTGCCCATGGCTGTATAAGAAATATAAACGAACAAATTTAACCTCATTTATTGGCTTTGTTTTTTATTTACGCCAAATGGTTTGGTATGGTTGACATCAGCGTAAACAGTTCCATCCTCATTGTTATTTTTTTCAGCCGATGGCCTTTGAAGCTAGAGCTGCGTGACCAACTGTTTTTCATGTTGCACTGTTGCACTGAAAATCTATTCAACAAATAATAATATTGTTTTTTTTTTTTTTTTTTATATAGGTAGCTAAACGGTTGGTATTCTAGACTTGTTCCCATTTACCACGACTATTTCGGACTATTTCTGTCCAAGTCCTGGAGCACGGAAACAGGCTAAATGTCATTAAAAAACAAACAAATGTCAAATTAAACTCTGAGTTTCTTAAACACCTCAATGAGAGCACTTGATAGTTGTTCATAAACACAAAATGTTAAACTCGAGTTTATGGATTAACGTGAGCATACTATTTCAATCAAAAACTTATGCTTCCTTGTTAAATTTACATTTGTCTGGGAGCACGTTTACCTGTGTGTACATGTCACTTAAGGATCCCATTGGCACTAACTGTTTCGACCCCAGCTTTGATTCGGTTTGATATTAGTTTTGAGAATTTCTAAATATGTATGCACTTATCAAGCAATAACATTGTATACATATATATGTAGTATTTAATTAGATACAAACATATGTAAATATTGTGTACGCAGGTAAAAATACGTTACAGTTCTGGTTTAGATATTGATTTTCACTTACATATTTAAGTAAATATATATATATTCTCTGTTTGGCACTGTATTAAAATTGGCCTTGACATACATGTATATGTACATACATATGTTTTATAAAAAATATATGTATGTATACATGCATTCACATAAATTTACGCTCATCTCTGTGTTGTCAATTCGACTTATTGATTGGCAGACTACACTTTAAAGTTATTCAATGCACCAGACGTATCCCAGTAGAAATTTTATGCTGTTGGTGGATGAACTTGCTGCTGTGTATACGTGCCAGTATAAATGAACCTTCATTGCCATTTAACACGTGTGGTTTCTCATATCGTATGCATACTCTAACCATACACTTGTACTACAGCTGTATGCATATGGCTGTATTCATATTTCAAACACACAAAAATACATTAATAGAACAGTATTATAGCATTCTTACAAGATATGTATCTCCATATGTAAATGCTACTTTCTGATACATTTTAATATGTGGTACAAACGGGTACATACAAAAAAGTAGCATTTACATATGCAAATGCATATCTTGTAAAAGCCCGTTAGTGCTGAAAATAATATCGCACAACACGTCCGTTCACTAAAATTTTTGTACAAGACTGAAAATATTATAAAAACTCCACTGCTGTATAGTAGTCAAATTTATCAAGAAATGTATTTAAAAAAACGCACGCTTGCAGTTCGCTGGAATTTCAATTTATTTGTGGAAATTCATGACAACACATGAGTTGTTCACACTATTTTACTCACACAGCAGGCATACTTCATGAATGCATACAACCGATTTCTACTGGGTATTTACATATCCATATACAAACATATGTATGTATGTATGCATGCATATACTTAAATACATATGTGCTATTAGTCTTGGCTTTAAATAATGGCGTTTTCGTTTCTACAAAAAGTCTTGCCTTCTCATAGTCCTCTTCTTAGAATTTGTGCATAGAGGGCAAACAGAAGGTAACCTTTTTTAGTAGAAACGAACTTTTTTCCGAATATACATATACTCAGCTGTACAATAACTGCATTTGTTTCATTTTATTTTGATAGCTTTAAATACATTTAAAAATTGTTAGATTTGCTTTAATTTAGCATACTTATTTGCATAATATAAACAGTTACAAATACAATCTATCTTCAGCTCATTGTACTCGTTTATTGTAAATAGTTATTAAGTAGTATCAATTTATTCAATTATTGTTCAATCGGTTCAAAAATATTTTTTTGGGATCTATGTATGTATGTATTTATGCATCAGTACCCGTTAATATGCTACTTATTAGGTATGAAAGTATGCTTAAACATCTACATATGTATATGTATATATGTATATTCTTTCCATGAATTATACATATGCTGTTACAGTTTTCTTTGATTCTTACCAAGCTTAAAATGCAAAAGGATTTTTTAAGAAAAAAAATCTCAAAAAAATCTCAAACAACTCTCACAAGCTAGATGTAAATGGTGATTTGTCTAAGTACATAGTATATATGTATGTATGTATGTGTGTATGTATACCTTTAATTAACTTTTTTATTATCTATTAGTATAGCAAAGGAAACACATTTTGGCACATTGTTCAGTTTCAGCTTCAGTATATTCATATGCTTGTTTCAATTATGTATATGTGTATATTTAGGTGGATGCTTAGTTTGTATATACATACATATGTATGTAAGTACGCCTGTACTTTTGAATTTTCTTTCTAACAAATTTGATAAAAAGTTATACATAGGTACACTGAAATTCACTAAATAAATTTTAATTAACTGTGCATCCATATGTATACAAGTATATATATATGTATAGCTGAAGTCTTTGAAAAAAATATTTTAAGTGATTTCAGAAGTTTTGATTTAGCGTAAATACATAAATAACGCTTTCGCACTCAGAGCCTATATTTCGTTCGAACTTTTACTAACTCGAAATCTGAAACAACATTTATGAGCAGATAATACTTTAAGAATTGCACACGAAACGATTAAATGCTTTAAATGAAAACAAAAAACAATAACCGAACTTGACTTAAATTGTTTTTTTTTTTTCAATTGTCCACAAGTAATTTTCAATATATACATAACCTTACCTTAATATAGAAAGTTCCTAACTCATTTTCTTTCGAACTGCCTAAAATAATTTAAAAACAACTACTACATCAATAAATTAGTTTGAAAGTTTATTACACCCAGGATTTTGAAGGAATTTCCAACTTAAGAACTTCAGTTTTTTAAAGTGTTGTAGCTACTCTGTAAAGTCACAAAAGCTTTAGAAAGGGCCTTTCTATACTAAGGTATGAATGTAGATATGTACATATCGAGCCCTTACCGACAAAAATACGTAAGCGACATTTTTTTCAAAATTTTCTTTTTGATGCAGAAATATTCCTAGAACATCTAAATGCATTTCTGAATCAAAAATAAAATTTTGAAAAAAGTCGCTTACGTCTTTTTGGCGGTTAGGGCTCGGTACGCACCTCACGCACTTACCATCAATTCTAAGTACATAGGGGTAAGTATGTATGAGCGTGTGTATATTTTTCATATTTATACATACATATCTGTGGGCATATGTATGTATGTAAAAATTTGGTAGTTGAAAACGTCGGAACGAAATTTAAAGTTTACGCAAATGTTAAAACGTATAAACAAACACTTACATTCTATACATATGTATGTATATGTAAAATTGTTTTATAACCTTATCCATTATTTAAAACATATTTGTATTCTCGCTTTTCGAATTATTAGAATCGTTTGGGCGGCAAAACAAGTGCCGCCGTTGATGTATGCCTATATGAATGTACGTAGGCGTGTGTTGTGTATGTGAGCTTTTCAGCAATAATACATAATCTCAATAACTAGTAGGTATTTAAGTCTACGAGTCGAAATTTTACATTCGCATAGCCCAATTGGCGTAGTCAGTAAAAATAAAAGTGTGCAAACAATTATCCGATTACAAATTATCCCGTTTTTTTTGGATATCAACGCTTGTTTGCGTTGTTTGTGTGTTTATGTTTTGTTTCATTATCCGTTCGGTAGTCGCGAAGCAGGAAACGTATTAACGCATAAAATTGCCTCTTTGCCAGAAAGTGTGTATATCGTCACTAAGTCATTGCATTCTACATATTTAGATGCTTGTGCTCGTGTGTCGATTGATTCCACGCTTTCGCCGGTACCCGCCCGGTCTACGCTGCCACCACTAGTTGTTGTTTTTCCACCGTGAAAGTAGTTCCTTCCAGCGATTCTTGCGGCGCCTACTTCAAATTTGCCATATAAGCAAATGATTGGTGCTGTCCTCACGACCGGCGATTTCGCTTAATGAATTCGCGCCCGAGTTACGGAAGTCTTCGTAGCCATCGCCACCAGAAATTACTAGAATAGTACTGGATTCCGGCTTTGGCTTCAAATGCTTCGCAGAACTACAAAGGGTGAAATGAGTGACAGAAAATTTTTAGAATATACGTATGTATGGCTGAGTTCCAAGTTGGTATATTGCAAAGCATCAGCTTCTTTTATTTCTAAACTATAACTGTTGGAAATGTCCAATATGCGCAACCATGTTCAAATGCCGAATTGGAACTTAGTGGCGCAAATTGGTCATTTCCATCAGCTATAGGTTAGAAATAAAAGAGGCTGATGCTTTGCAATATACCAACATGGAACTCAGCCTATATCCCACACCTAAAGTGAGCTAACTCAAAATTCAGAGAGAGAAATACAACTGCTTGTGGATCGTACCGGTTCAATGAAATTAATACAAAAAAAGGTATAACAGTAGTTTTTTAGTTAATGCAAATAATCATGAAGAAAAAAGTATTCGTATTAATTGGATGTAAGTCCTATGCATTGATTTATGAAAAAATCGCCATAATTTTATTTTGAGTTGATCGCACTTTAGGTCTAGGTGTGCGATATGTAAATATAAATATATGATAACATCAATAAGAAAAATGCTATACCTTTGGCTCCTGTACTCACTACTGCTCCCCGCATTTTCGGTATCACGGCCTGCTGAGCCTGTGCTACTGCAACTGACTTCCGAAGTTAGACCGCTGGTCTCAACAAATGTCAGGAAGCGCACATGTCCCGTGTGGCCGTGCGGTATTCCAGTAGGCACAACATTTTGCACTCCCTTCTCGAAGCCCTGCGCCGGAATTGTGAGCAAGACGCCTGCACTTGTGCCGATCCAAATGAGGTCTCTGCAGGATAGCAACGATGTGACACGTAAGCAGGCGGCTTTGTGCTGGCGAATGATCTCATCACAATTCGACAGCATTTTATTCACAGCCGGCGCCAGATTGACTTCGGCTATTAACTGGTGACTGCAATGTGAGATTTTCAATTAATTAATAAACAGAGCATATAACTAAATACATGTGCATATTTTTAAATCAAGGAATGAAACCGATTCAAACTAGCGTCCCGGTTTCGGTTTCGGTTTTGGTTCCGTTCTTTAAAATTTGTTTCAGTTCAGGTTTCGGTTTTGGAATAAAAAAAAACGAAACAAGTTTGATACACAGCAACAACGTCATCACCAGATTCACTTAAAAGTTTCCTTTTTGCTATAAAATTAAAGATGTATGAAAACTAAAATAATTATGTTCGTCAATTACACTGGATCACAAATTTTAATTTGATTTTTGTTCTCCAGACGCACAGTGCCGCCTAAGTGTGCAAAAATCGAAAAATTCGTTATCTGCAATGTGAGCTTGTTTGGTATTTTTGTAAAGACAATTTATCCCCTAAAAAGAATTAAACAGACATTTCTCCAGAAATCCACTAAAGTCGACAAATTTTATACTAAGAATTTTAATAAGAGCATAGCCATGGCTCTTCACAGAAAAAAATGTCAAAAATATATCCTTTGAAATAAAATATTGGTTTGACGTTTCTTGTTTCCATATACATAGATAGTAGAGAATTACAGGAATTAAAGGTTTGGAATAAAATTAAACACAGGGTGTCCCTGCGGTGTTCCAAAAAAACAGTTTTTTTAAACAAAATTTCAAAAGTTCTAACTTTTAATGGAATGGATAAAAAATATATGTAAAAATAGGTTAGTTTTTAATATTTTGTTAAATAGTACGGGCTTTCAGCTTTCAAAAAAAGAAATAAAAGCCTGCTCATTTTTTGCACTTTCTGAAGTAATGCGTTTTTCGCTAACGCATAAAATAATTTTTTTAAATTTTTTGTCAGTGCCTTGAGATCTGCACGATTCGTTCCATTTTCAAAAATGAAGTGTCAGATTAAAAAGATTGACCTATGGACAATAGAAGGTTTCATGATTCAATAATACAAGGTTAGATAATTATTGACAGCTGCGGTTTGACACTCCCTTACAAAAGGTTGCTTTTTCGAAGGACGGAGAAAGGGGAAGAATGAAATCTCTTGGTGCGAAAATGGTACTAGAAGAGTAGGCAATTAGTAGTGAATTTCCTTTTGTAAATTCTAAGGTATTTGCAGGAAATCTGGCATTTTAAACGAAATGTTGAACGTAATATTGATATATCTACGTGAATTACGTAATTTATGTGCTATTTAGCTGTATAAAAATTGCAAAATGACTTAAAATTAAAATAAGACTACTATGAGATTGATGTAAACATCCAATTTAAAAACAGTTTATGTCTTCATCAGTTAAATATGCTTCATATGTATATACAAATAAACATATTGCACAAAAGCTTATACTTTATTTCATACCAAAGCTACACTGTTTCCATGTAAATTTGGAAAGAAGCAACACGGTGCCTCTGCTAAGGGAGCGGTGCGAGAGAGACAACTGTCAGTTTATCGAACCTTGTATTATTGAATCATGAGAAGGTTTATTTTGTTTAAATAGTTGCCACCTGTTAACAAATTAGATTGTTAAAAAATTATATTAAAATTTTTTTATAAGTTAAATGAATTATTAAGAGATGGGTATCAATCGAACTGTGTTAGCTACATCTAGAGAGTTGCTACCTGTTTAAAAAATCAAATTCCATTTGAATTAAAGGAATTAGGTAATTGAGATAGATAGGTATCACCATAAGGGAGTAAGACGAAAGAGGTTTAAGAAGGTTTTAGCTTAATAATATTACGAATAGGGTTGCCACCTCCTTGTAAAATCGAGTTTAGTTAAACTAAAATAATAATTACGTCATACCATAGGATAACGCCTTCGTATTTGTTGTTTTATCACAAATACATACATTGTCAATCAGTGATTTGTTCTGATAACATTCCTTTTAAATGACTGGACTCTTAAATTAACTCAGGAATGTTTTTACTCTCCACTTATTTCTTGCTAAATATGTAAAATTTTTTCATTTGTCTGATACTCACATTGATATACATATTTCAGTTACCTTATTCCCTTAATTAAAGTGAATTTGATTTTTTAAACATGTGGTAACCCTCCTACGTGTCATTTAGAAGTAAAATATTTTCAAAACTAGTTCAGTTGATACCCATATTTTAATATCTAATTATTTTAACTTATTAAATAATTTTAATAAAATTTTTAACAGGTGGCAACCCTTTTCAAAGGTAAAAAACTTTATTGCACATCTACAGGCCAAGCACTGTCATTTGCCACCTTTGAAAATAGAACGAACTATATGTACATACCTATGTAAAAGCCACAAGAACCCAAATTTTCAACTTCAAACTCCATTTACAGTGAAAGTATGAAAGTTATCCAAAAACCAATTGCATTTTTGAATTAAGCGTCCTCAATTTTACTAAGAAGCGACTTTTCATTTAAATCCACTATCCAATTTGTATGTAGAATCGCCCGCTGATTCCAAAAATCGAGTTAATTTTTTATTCTATGGATACGTTTTCGAGATGTTTACAATTTACCGTTATTCAGCTTAAAACAAAAGGTGGTGCCACTTAGTTACTTATATCTCAGGAACCGATTTAACCAACTGAAAATGAAATACGGCAAATGAAAGCTAACAAAGTTTTCCATAAACCGTCTATACATCACTTTCTGATAGGACTGACAGTTTCTTACAAATTAATAATTAATCATTCCAGTTTTTTTTATGAAAAAAATAAGAAAATCAAATTTTAACAGGAAAAAAATTAAAAAACTAACAGGTTCTGTGTAAAATTTTTGCCTTTGTACTAAAGCCTGTTCTGTTACAAAAAAAAAATCAAGTTACTAATGAAGCAAATCTATTGATAAACAAAGAAGTAATGAGTGGTGAAATGAAAATGCGCAAAGATTTTGTGTATGAGAAATGAGCAGGACATAATGTTACTCATACGCCATGCGCATATAAGTAGCTTGCTTTACTCATTACTTCTTTATTTATCAATCGATTTGCTTCAATAGTAACTTGATTTTTTTTGTAACAGAACAGGCTTTGGCATAAGGGCAACAATTTGACTCAGAACCTGTTAGTTTTTTAATTTTTCTTCTGGTTTTTTCATACTTTCCTAAAAAAAAAATCTGGAATGATTAATTAGCTTGTCAGAAACTATCAGACCTATCTAAAAGTGATGTACATACGGTCTATGAAGAATTTTGTTAGCTTTCATTTACCGTATTTCATATCAATATAAGTTAAACCACTTTTTGTTTTAAACTGAATAACGGTAAATTGAAAATGTTTTGGAAACTTATTCATAGAATAAAAAATTAAGCCGATTTTCGGAATCAATGAGCAATTCTTAATAGGACTTAGATAGTGGCATCCATTGAACGGTTTTGCCATAAACCAGTGTTATTTACTATCAAAATGACTTCTACCAAATAACCGGTATCATATCGGAGATTCATTTATTAGGCATCTTTTTGCGAAAAGTTACTTTGCCATAATTACTACTTAAGAAGAATTTTAGCAAAATATTGCTGACTTTGGTTAAATAAATAATTTATTTCAAAGTAATTTATATTTATTTTGGAGGTAAATATAATTTGTGGAAAGTGAAGTAAGGCGAAGTAAAATGAATTCGTGAAATGAAGGCTTCCAAAGTGAAGTGGAAAACTTCAATTGAAGTGACAGCTTGCGTTGGCACTTTGCTATGATCGTAGTAAATTTGCTACAAATTTCGAAAAATTGTAAAATTTGCTACGCCACTACGTCGTGAACGTACTGCTATAATCCGAAATATGAATTTTTTTTACCAGAAAAACGACTTTTATGATTGTAAATTAGAAAATGAATGATATCATAGAAAGAACATTTTCGAAGACCCACTTTAACTTTTGGCAGTTATTCCATTCTATGAAATATTTTTAACAATATGTATTTGTGATGAAGCTTGAGAGGAGAGAGGAAACGCTCTTTGGCCTCATCGTCCCGTACTTCGTGTACGCGGTCGTAAACGTTTGCTCTGAGTGTGCGAATGGAGGTGGAAAATTTGGAATTGGTCTAACGGAAATCGTGAGATGATTGAGAAGAATAAAACCTAAAATTTTACTTAAAATCTAAGGCATTTGCTACTCATATAAAACGATACAAAAAAAGTTTAAAAATAAATTTTAATTGATATATTGACCTTTGTCGCCTCACCTTTATATCCGGCTACTCAGCTACATCACAAGCTGCATTCACGGCTGAGTTAAAACTACTATATATGTGGAAAACAGTGCACATAAATGGCAAGAGGAAAATCCAAATGTATGTACGCTTGGGCTCCGTGGAATTAACTACTAATCGCCGGAGCGGCATCATATCCTTCGCCATAAAGGTACGAATAACCTATGCCAACTTCCGACAGATACTTCTTCACAACTATCGTAAAATAAAATAGGTGATAAAATTAAAACTTTTTACCCGCGTTTACATATTTCTGGGTTTCGCCGCCCCTTATGCGACATTTAGTTCGCATCTAAACCGCCTCATCTTTCCACTGCTCTGGCAATCGCATAGGAATTGGAAACAACTCACAAGAGATATGAATTCGACAACATATTCGATGCAGGGGGTTTAGCTAAGTGAAATCAATGTCCTAATCTCGATTATAGTCGTAGCATTTCCCTCATTATAAAATAAATCGTAACACTTCAACACCAATGGCCATTGATCCTACAAGCTCTTAGCTTTGGCAAGTCACCGCTCACAAAAATACCAAATGAGTTACCCAAAAGCCCGATAAGCAGCTGTAAAACTACCTAGGAAACCAATAAGTTCTCTAAGATCCCATCAACATACCAAAAAATCAGAGAGTTAACTAGTTAGTGAAGAAAAGGAAATTGGAAGAAGATATATCTGCTGAATATTTAATAAGACCAGCGCAAGTGTATTTGCGCATTTCGTTCAATAAGTACTATTTGCATTGTACTCTACTCACAACACATTGTTATTCTTCTTCCGCATCAATACACTACTTGGCGTTCAGAGAGTAAATGCTTTACGTACTTGCTACTACTCTACCAAAGTACCCTGCAAGAAC